TGGGAGCAGAACACGAACAGCTACATCACCTACGCGGGCCACAAGAAAACGATCAACGACTACACCATCGAGGACGACATCCTCTACACAGCCTCCATGGACGGCACCGTCATGGCCTGGGACACCAGCATGGAGCAGGCCAAGTACACCCTACACCCCGCACCACCCACCCCAACCCCGCACCACCCCCATCTGACAACCACCACGTCCATCACCACCAACCACACTCGCTGGTGGCTGCTGCAGGACAAAGAACCTGTCCAAGTTCTTCGGTGACTCAGCCTCGCGGCAGGCGGCGCCCGGGGTGCGCACGGCTGCGGTCTACATGGGGCGCACCAAGAACGGACCCGAGGTGGAGCTGACCAAGAAGCACCGCAACGTGTTCAAGGGCCACAAGGAGGCCATCACCTCCCTCTTCTACGATAACGGCATCATGTACACCGCCTCCACCGACCTCACCATCAAGTCCTGGAACCCCAAGGTACGCCGTACCGCCTGCACACTCCCCCACCCCAATCACCAACCCAAGCCTCGGACGGTCGCTGATGGTGTGGTGGTGTGCGTGGTGTGCGTGGTGTGTGTGTGTGTGTGTGTGTGTGTGTGTGTGTGTGTGTGGCCTCTGAGCAGCTGGGTAAGTGCTTGAAGACGTTCAAGGGCCACACGGCGTGGGTGTACTGCTGCCGCACCTACAACGGCCTCCTCTACTCGTCATCGCGCGACAAGACGGTCCGGGTGTGGAACCCCAAGAAGGGCGAATGCATACAGGTCATGAACGTGGAGACGTCCCTCACGTCCTTCAAGATCAAGGGCAACCACCTCTTCGGCATCAACTCCGAGAAGGCGGGCCTCGCCGACGACAGCCTCAAGATGATCTCCCTCCAGTCCGGCAAATTGTACATGCTCCATCCGACAATGATGTTAAATTGGGTGTGGTGGTTGTGGTTGTGATTGTGATTGTGATGGTTGTTGTGATGGATGTTGTGGTTGTTGTGGCTGGTGCTGACACGAAGGCCAGCGTGAATGTCTTTGAGGGCCATTCGGCGCGTATCCGGGTCTTCAAGATGTACGGCGACCGCCTGTTTACGGCTTCCGCCGACGGCACCATCCGGGAGTGGAGCATCAAGCTGGGCCAGTGCATGAACGTGCTGCGGGGCCACGAGGGCAGCGTGAACGCCATCTCCTTCAAGGGCGGCACCCTCTACTCGGCGGGCGACGACGGCACCATCCGCGTGTGGGAATACTCGGACGCCGACCCGGACAACCCGCTCAGCGAGGTACGCCTACCTACCCCCATCTTACCCACCCTCCGCGCGTTTCCTACGGTGGCTGATGCCTCTCCTGTCTTTTTCGTCTTGGTGGTTGTTGGTTGTTGGTTGTTGCTGCTGCTGCTGTTGCTGTTGTTGTTGTTGTTCGGCGTACAACATAGGAGCTGGAGGCGGAGGATTCGGTGCCGCAGCGGCGCAACACGGTGTCGGGGGCGGCGCCGTTCGGCAAGAAGGCGGAGAGTGCGCCCTCGTTGTCGCCGCTGGGCAAGCTGGCGGGGAACACCATCGGGCAGCGGACCTTTTCGGTGGCCCTGCGCGGCATGCGGAACAGCAGCAGCAGCAGCGCCACGTGTCGCGCCCTCAACAACGGCAACGAATACCCGTACGCACCCACCACCAACCGACCACTGCGAACAAGCTGCAACTTACCACCGCTTCATTCTTCGGCTTGTGTGCACAGAGCCTGAGCACTCGTTGGGAGAAGCGCAGACAGAGAGACACGGAGAGAGAAGACTCTTAGAGGCGTGCACTCGCGGCACTGGAGGCGCAGACTGCAGGAGGGTCCACCCAGCTGATGGTGTGGAGGCACAGAGGGTCCTCACGATGAGGCCGAGGACCTACCCCCCGCGTAGTTGTAATTACCGATTTTTGAGTCCTCCGCCATAACCACACCCGTCCCCCCTCCCACAACGTCCCCCCCACCACCTCACCACCACCACCGCACACACAGGGTGAACAGCATCACCGGGACCAAAATAATGCAATATATATGTGTATGTACGTTTGTTATGAATGTGTGTGAGAGCTGCACGTGTTTGGGGGGGGGGTAGCGACACATCAGGCTCAGTCGCGGGAGTGCTGGAGTTTGAGGGAGGAGGAGATGTTCCAGAGGGTCTCCTCGCTGATGAAGTTGATGTTGATGAGGAGGTTGTGGACGAGCTCGTCCACCTCGATGGGGCAGGGCTGGCGCTGGAGCAGCTGGATCTCGCGCAGGATGCGGCCCCACCGCAGCATCTTGTCCACGTTGAGGTGGCCGCCGCGCATGAGGTGCGAGTTGCCGTCGTTGATGAAGGTGAGGTCCTTCATGTAGACCGCCAGGAACGGGATCAGCGGATACCGCACCTGCTGCTCCTCGCCCTCTGCCTCCTCCGCCGGCGGCTCGTGCTCCTCCCTCTGCTGCTGCTGGCGCGGGGACGCTGGTGGTGCTGCCGCCGGCGCGTCGACGCCGCTGCGGGTGGCCTCGTCGAGGCGGGCCAGGCGCTCCATGTGCCTGGCGAGCACCTCGCGGTACTCCTTGCAGTTGCCGACGAGCGGTAGGAACGTGTTGACCTTGCGCATCTTGGCCGCACACTTGCCGTCCCGGTAGGCCTCCTCCCACAGCTCCTCCAGCCGCGTGAGGGGCGACAGGTTGAGGCCCAGCGACAGCGCCATCAGCGACGCAAAGTTGCCCATCTTGAGGCACTTCTGCACTCGTCCCCACCCGACCACCCCCCATATATATATATATATATACACACATATATCACACACATACACACAGAGACATACATATCATCGTATCAGCTTGCATATCCTTCTCTGCTGCTTTGGGTGGGAGACGGCTCACGTACATAGGCGATGTTGATGAACTTGCGGAGGGCCTTGACCTGGTGGCTGAACTTCTTGAGGATGAGCACCTGCGAGCACACCCAGTAGGAGATCTTGTTGCACTGCTCGATGAGGAGGTTGATGTTGGGGCTGAGCTCGGGCTTGGTGAAGGCCATGTCGGTGAACTCGCGCAGGTCGACCTTGCCCAGCAGCTCGTAGTCGATTCGCGTCAGCTGTTGCGCGATCACCCGCGACCGCACCTGGAGCACGTTCATGGGCTTCACCTTGCCGCTGGTCGGAATACGCTCAATCATGCGCTCCGACGCCACACGCCCCATCCGCGCCTGGGTCTGCTGCGACGTCGACGACGACGGAGTGGCCGGAGCCGTGCGGACCAGCACCGACGCCTGCGGTCGGAGCTGCCGCGAGGACTGCGAGGGAGTGGCGACTTCGGCCTTGCCGCCTTTCACGGCTCTGGCCAGTCGCTCCGCGCCAGGGGCGGCGACGGCGGTCGTGGCCGTGGGCTGAACCGTGGCGGCGGCGGGGTGGTACCCCGGTGAGGAGGGTGCACCCGCGGTGGACGGGGATCGCAACCGGAGGGCCGCGGTCAGGGAGCGCGGGTGGCGGATGGAGGACGCCCAGATGCGGTTGCGCACGGCGTTGGCCTCGTCCTTGAGGCCGTGCCGTACCATGACCTCGTTGACCAGCACCTTCAGCTTCTGCCCGAGCGCACGCCCGCTAAAGTCGGCCTCGTAGGCAACGTCCACCCACTCCACCAGGAAGCTCGCCAGCTTCCGCCTGGACACATTCCGGATGGTTCAATCAGCTGACATGGCACGCACGATCACACGACACAACACACACAACACACACACGGTGTGGGTTGGGGGGGGGCGTACCGGAAGGGCAAGAGAGCGGGGGCGGCCGGTGTGTAGAGAGAGCGGGAGGCCGGCGCGGAGAGGAGAGGCGGGAAGTAGTAGGCCTCGAGGAAGGCGGTGAAGAGGTGCTCCGGGGTGAAGCCCCAGTGCCGCACGGCCAGCACCAGGCTGCCCACGAGGCCCGGGTCCTCCAAGCGGTTCTGGTGCGCGTCCCAGTTCGCGAACACGCTCCCCGCCACCACCCCCGGCAGCGTGCCGCCCTCTGTTGCAATGCAACAACGCGCCCACAGTGTAACCCCACGTCCGAGATTGAAATCCGGTTAGTTGGGCCGCCAACCACGTGAAGGGGACTAGGGGGTGGGGCGCGTACGGGCCAGGAGTTGGTTGAAGGAAGTGGGGCACGCCAGGCGAAGCCCTCCCGCAGTCTCCTCGGAAAGAGCCGATGGCTGCTGCTGCTGCTGCTGCTGCTGCTGCTGCTGCTGCCGCTGCCGCTGTTGCTTGTGGCTGTGCTTGCCCGACGATGCGTCGGTACGTTCCTCGTGTGGCGGCTGCTGCTGCGTCTCGCCGTCCTCCTCGCTGTCCTCTATAGTCCAGGAGCACCAATGATTGATCAGCTGTCTATCACGTAACCAAAGAAGCCAAAAGGGAGTTGCAGGGCAACAAGACCGAGAAGAGTCGCCGTACCGGGGCCGGCAAGCTTGTTGCGAAGTGAGTCAAAGACCTTCATGAGGGAGGAGCGGCGGCGGCCGGCCTTCTTGCGGCGCGCCCGCTCCTTGCCGTCGGTTCCGTGAGGCGCGAGGTAAGTGGAGGAGGCAGAGTCGCTTCCCTCGCGCAGGGCCTTACGCACGTCCGTGAGCGATCGCGATCGCCTTCGTCGCCCCGCGCCCACCGCCACGTGGGGCGCCTCAGCCTGCTGCTGCTGCTGGGCGGCGTCGCTCTGTGGCAGACCGGAGCGCGGGTGGAGGGCGATGAAGCGCAGGCCAGCCTCGCGGCCCTTGGCCGCCGTCTCGATGAAGGTGGCACGCCCGTTGAGCTTCGCAGGCTGTTCGTCGCACGCCTCCCACTCACCGTCGTCATCGTTGTCGTGGTCGGCTCGTTCGACGTCGAGGCGGGGCACGTGCAGCTGCAGGCGGAGGTGGTGGAGGCGGCCGTGCTCGCCTTCGACGGGTCCACACGGGGCGCGCAGCCGGAGGGGCTGGCCCAGCAGCCCATCGAGCGACCGCTGGCTCCTGAGTCGCACGCACCCGGACGACGCCGACAGCGGACCGGCGCCACGCGACGACGAAGAGGTGGAGGAGGAAGAAGAAGATGGGGGATGGGCGTAGCCGAGGCGGTTGCGCTCGACGCCGGCCAGGCTGCTGGCCTTGCGCTTGGGCGTGGCCGCCGCCGCCGCGGGAGAGACATCGCCGCCGCCGAGGTGAGAGCGGAGGGTGCCGGCGATCTCGCGTCGGAGGTCCTCGTTCGACACGGCAGGGCTCTTCTTCGGCCGCCGTCGCACCCGCCGCTCGCCCGCCACCGGCGGCGTGTGCGGCTGCTGCTGCTTGGCCTTGACCTTGGTCGGCCTCTCGACGTCGCACGCCTCGTATGCGGCGGCGGCCTCGCCACCACCGGTGGGCTGCGGCTTGTGCTGGTGGTGGTGATGGGTGGAGGGGGTGAGGGGCTGGCGCGGGGCGACGGAGGGCGACCTTATGGCGCTCCCGCGGCTCTTGCGTTTGTGCGGGGTGGTGTCCCGGTGGACGGCGGAGCTCACCCGCTGTGTGCGCACCGACGACGAGCGGCGGTTCTCCTTGCCCAGGCCCACGCCAGCAGCTGCTTCTGCGGCGGATGGCGCGCCGCCGCACGTGTCTGAGGAGGAGGTGGAGGCGCTCGTGAGGAGGGAGAGGAGGGCGAGGTCGTCCACCGAGTCGCGGTGGAGGCGGGTGCCCTTGTCCCGCACATGCTTGTTCTTGAGGGCTTCCAGACCGGACGGCGGCTCCTCGTGGCCCACCACCACCACGGGAATCGAAGTAATAGAAGAAGTAGTAGAAGGAGAAGTAGGCGCAGGCGGTGCGCCGTCGAACAGGCGCCGCAGCTGGCTCTGTTGCATTTTTCTGCTTTTGGGGAGGAGCGGATTGGGGTGCGGTGTTGGACGCAGTGGTGGTCGTGTCCTGCTCTCGTTTCTTCTTGTGTTATGGTGTGGAGTTGTGGAGTCCTCGCACCCCTCTACCACAGCAACGCAAACGCCCTCATCTTTTGGCGCCTTTTTGCGCAACGGAACTGTGTCGAGAAACCACAATTTCCTTTGCTATTTCCCGCTGGCGTTGTCGGGCAAAAACTGGGCAGGAACCACGAATTAATTAGGCGACTGGAGTAAGAGAAGAAAGCGAACGCCGCGTTTTGCCGCTTTACAGGGGCAAGAGGAGCCCAACAAAAGGACGATACAGCATGGACTCGTACGCCTTTCCTTCTACATCTTCGGCGCGTTTATGATTAGTACTAGAGTATTGTGTTTCTTTGGTTGGGTTGGGTTCCACGCAGCGTTGGGGGGGGGAATATTTTTAGTCTGTAACAATAATCCATAAATCCGTAAAACGACAGGCCGGGGTCCAAAAACGTGGGCGGCGCCAGCAACAATGCCAGCCCGCAGGGGGGCATCACACTTCGGCGACCCACAGGCGCCCCCGCACCTGCACCACCGGCTGCTACTGCCACCGGGGCGGGGGAGAGCAGCGGGCGTAAGCTCCCGCCTCCGACGGGCCTGGCCCAATGGTCGCCCCAGCGCACACCACCAGGCCCACCCACCAGCGGCGCGGTCAGCCCCGACGCGGGACCAGCAGCGGCCAACCGGCTGCGTGGGGCGCCGCCGCCGCCGGTGCCGTCGCGCGAGAGCCGGCCTGGACCCCTTTCTCACACGCGCGCGTCGCTGCCGGTCTCCCCCTCCACCTCCAACCGCTCGCGGCCGCTGCCGCTCCCCAACCCCCCGGCCATCAACTCCCACCATCACCGTCCGCAGCAGCAGCCGCAGCCGCCCCACAATACCGCCACCACCGCGGGCACCATCAGCAGCACCACCACTACCAGCCCCGGGGCCTCCTCGCCTCCTGCCGCCGAGGTATCGTCGAGATCTCACCCTCGCGCACTTGCGCCCTGGTCTCTGCTCTGCTCTGCTCTGCTCTTCTCTCTCTCATCTGCTCCTCCTCCTCCGCTCGAGCGGTGCTCATTTGTGCGTGTTGTGCTGTTGTGTCGTGTGTCGTGTGTGCCGCGTGCCGCGTTCAGGGCGGGAAAGAGGAGGCTGGCGGGCCAAAGGTGCCGCCGCGCACGCGCCCGCACCCGGTGCAATCGCCCACACCGCCGTCGCGGGGTCTTCTCTGTACGGCGGCGGGCGACACCGCCGCCTCGTCAGGAGTTGCCCACCAGTCGGAGGGCGAGGAGTCCCCGTCGCCCGAACAGGCCCGGGCCTCACCGCCGGCCTCGCCCGCCGGGGCCACCGCTACTCAGCAGCAGCAGCCGCAGCAACCAGCAGCAGACGTGCAGTCGCCGTCGGGCGCCTCCGCGCCCGTCAAGCGGGTGCCGCCGCCTCGGCCTTCGCGCGTGACCGTGACGGCCGGCCGCATCGACGGCTGGATGCGCCTGCAGCCCCCGCCCGCCGGCGGCCCTGATGCGGCGGCGGCGGTCAAGGCGGTGCCGCCCATCCCCGCCAAGTCCCTCTCGGCGGGCGGCGGCCTGGCGGAGGCCGGCTCGGACGGAGCCGACAAGAGATCTCCGCAGAGCCCCACCTCGTCGTCGCTGGCTCACCGCCGCTCGCCCAGCTCCGGGCTGAGCCCGAGCCTCCTCCACGTCACGCCGCCGGCCTCCTCCACCTCTTCCTCGCCCTCCTCGGCCTTCTCGCCGCCGGCCTCCTCGTTTTCGTACTTTGCCACGAGTCCGCGCAGCCCGGCAGCGGGCGCGGAGCAGGCGGGGCCGGGGCCGGGGCCGTCGTCGCTGTCGCCGCGTTCGGGGCAGCCGGACGGCGGCACGCTGCGGGAGCGGAAGGGGTCGTTCTCGACCAACATCCTGCAGAACCTGAGCTTCTGGAAGAAGGGCTCCAGCCCGAGCCCGACCTCGGCGCGGAGCGAGAGCAAGAGCGCCATGAGCGAGGTCATCCGGCGCGGCGAGCCCAACCGCTTCCTCGACGCCCTCCACAAGAGCAAGGAGGACGGCGACCTCAGCCACCCGACCCGCGACGCCGCCGCGGCCGCCTCCTCGTCGTCGGAGAGCAAGCGCGAGGACACCCTGCGCGCCCTCCAGGGGCTGCTCTTCCCCCACCGCGACAAGAACGACGACGAGCGCGACGACAACACCACCACCAAGCCCACCAAAAAGGAAATCAAGGAGAAGGAGAAGGAGAAGGAGAAGGACAAGGACAAGGACAAGTACAAGGACAAGGAAAAGGACAAGGAGAAGGAAAAGGAGAAGGACAAGGACAAGGACAAGGAGAAGGAGAAGGAGAAGGAGAAGTCCACCGTGGCCGGTGCCGAGCAGCCGCTGGCCCCTGCGGCGACGCCGGAGGGCAGGTCGTTGCGGCGGGTGCTGGAGTGGTCGCCGACGACGTCCAAGGAGGAAACCGCCATTCCGGCACCGCGATCATCCGGCGGGTCCTCCTCGAAGCCGACCCTCCGCTCCATGGGCGAGCGCGGGCGGAGCACCTCGCTCCCGTCCATCTCCCGCCGCTCGCTCTTCCGAAGCAGCGGTGGCAGCAGCACCGCGGTCCCGCAGCCGGCCCCGCTCACCGCCAACTCGGGCAGTTCCCCGACAGTCACGCGCCCGCGCGCAGCCACGCGCCATTCGATCTCGGGCGCTCCGTCGCGCTCCGTCATCACCCCTCGCTCCTCGCCCTCGTCGCCCGCCGGGTCGCGAGTGGCGTCGCCCTCGCCCTCGCCCCGCTCCTCGTCGTCTATGTCGAGCGGCCGCAACTCCAGCTCGGGAGGCAGCAGGCCTGGCAGCGGCGGAAGCAGCCTGGGCCTCAAGGTCAATACCAACGTCAGCGCCGCCGCCGTCGCCGCTACCACCACCTCGACTACGACAAGCAGCAGCAGCTCGCGAGCCAGCGGCGGTGCCCCTTCGACGGGAATAGGAGGAGGAGGAGGAGGCGGAGGAGGCGGAGGGTCGCAGGTACCCTCCGGCCCGATCGCCATCAAGGAGGTGGACCTCGTCGCCCCGCAGAAATACCTGGCCCAGGTACCCCACCCCCCGCTCCCGCCACTGCGGAGATGACGACGGCGACGATGTGGTGGCTGCTGGTGGTGGTGGCTGGTGGTGGTGGTGGCTGCTGCTGGTGGTGGTGTTGGTGGTGACGATGATGATGACCCGGCGCTCTTCCCTCGTCCGGCCTTCCTGCAGAGATGGGCGCAGGGCAAGTGCAAGCCGGGGCGAGCGCCCCGCATCAAGAAGCTGAAGGCCTCCGAACGGAAGAGGGCCGTCGTGGTCGTGCTCGACGGGGAGGGAATCACCGTCCTCGACTCCAACTCTCAGGTTCTCCTCGCTAGCGAGCTAGCTCCCCATCTTCCATCGAATGAAAAGTTTCTGCTGCCCGGCGGTCGTGAGAGATCTGACGTGCGTGTCATACGTATGTGGCGTGTGGCGTGTGCGCAGGAGGTGATCATGGCCCACACGTTCACGCAGATCAAGAACTGGGGCCACCGCGAAGGGGTCAAGGGGATGCACTTCAACTACATCGCGACGACGGGCGCCAAGTGTCCGGAGATCTACGACTTCAAGTCCGACCAGGCCCTGGAGCTCTTCGAGCGCATCTCCTTCCAGCACGCCCTCAAGCTCAAGGAGTCCCTCGCCCGCACACCCGGTGGCTCCCGCTCTCTCATCCTCGCCTCCCCAACTACTCTCGGGTATATATATACAGATATCCTCACAGTGCTGCTGCTGCTGCTGCTGCTGCCACTGGGCACACGGCTGATCCGTCTTCTCGCACCGCACGTGTTCGTGTGTCGTTGGTCGTTGTGTGTGCATCGTGCAGTAGCCCAGGAAGTGGCATTCGTGAGAGGGATCGGACGGGCGAGAGCGGCGGCAAGCGGGCCTCGAGCGAAAAGACCGGAACGGCCATCGAGCGCGGCGGCCCTGGAGACGACCAGACAGCCGCCGGCGGCGGCGGCGGCAGCGACAGCGGAGAGGCGGAAGCCGCGAGAGAGCAGGACAAGGACAGGCCGGCGGGCCGACATCCCGCCGTTGCCGCCGCTGCCGCCAAGGTGGTGGTCGTGGTGGGCGGCGAAAACGAGGACGCGGCCTCCCCGCGCGCCTCTACGGCGGCCGCCGGCGGGGCGAGGGCGGGCGAGGGCGAGCAGAGCGCCAATGTCGAGGCCGAGGCCGCCCGCGGGGCCAAGGCGGCGGCAGCGGGCGGGGCGAGGCGGGGCGCGGTGAAGAGGCTCGACAAAATCCGGTGGTCGGTGCTCATGGAGGGACCGGCCGTCGAGCTCGTCAATCGCGACGACATCTCGGCCAGGCGGGGCCGGGAGCAGCAGCAGCCCGACAACAACGACGACGATGAAGAGGACGAAGATGAAGATGAAGAGGACGAGGAGGACGAGGAGGACGAGAGGGAGCAGCCGGCAGTCCAGCAGCAGTTGTTGTTGTCGCCCCGCACGATGATGGCGCGGCTCGAGAAGAAGAAGAGCTGGCAGGACATCACCCGCAACCTCAAGAAGTTCGACTTCCAGAGCGAGAAGGCCAAGGAGCTCCGCGAGGAGCGAGAGCAGCGGGAGCGGGAGCAGCAGGCCAAGAAGGGCCCACCCAACAAGGACAAGGACAAGGACTCCTCCCGCGACGACTCCGGCCTCCTCAAGGCCGCCAAGAACGCCAAGAAGTCCCTCCGGTACCACCACCCTAACTTGGCGCCCCACTTGAATCGATTCGCACACACGACACGACCAACGACACGACCAACGACACGACACGACACGATACCACACCACACGCATGACACTAACGACCAATGACCAACGGTGGCAGGGTGAAGACGCCGAAGAAGGAGGAGATATCGATCGTGCGCAATGACCGGCCGCCGTCATCGTCGGAGGACGGGGACCAGCGCACGCTTTCGCGGGCGGTCTCGTTCGACGCCAAGCCGGGGGGCGCCGGGGGCAAGGGCGGCAGCCGCGAGGACCTCCTCCGCGGCAGCGGCGGCGGTGATGGGGACGACGAGGAGGAGGAGGACCCGGAGGCCGAGGCCGAGGAGGACGACGTCGGCCGCGCCCGCAAGTCAGGCGGGGAGATTGACGGGAGCGGCATCGACCACGCGGGCAGCGGCGAACGCAGGAAGGTCGACATGCGCGAGGAGGTCGTCAAGGAGCTCGTCAAGACAGAGAAGAAGTACGTCAAGGACCTCGAAATCATCGTCGAGGTATGCCGCACCATGATTACCCCCTCCTCCTCCTCCTTCTCCAGACCCGCTCATCTCGCCAACGCTCGCGTGCGTGTGCGTGTGCGTGTGCGTGTGCGGGGAGAGTAGCAGTACATGCGGAGGCTGAGGGAGAACGGGCTGGTGGAGGGGCCGGACATCGCGGCGATCTTCTCCAACGTGGACCAGATCCGGAACCTCAACCGCACCCTGTTTGACTCCATGGAGGGGCTCGACAGGCTGCCCACCGAGCATTCCAACGTCGGCGAACGATTCCTCTCCTTCGTGCGTACACACGACACGACACGACACGACACGATACCACACCACACGACGACACGACACGACGCGCGGCTCGGCTCTGCCGGCCACCGCGAGACTACTTACGCCCACGTGTGTCGTGTGTCGTGTGTCATGTGTCGTGTGTCGTGTGTGTCGTGTGTCGTGTGTCGTGTGTCGTGTGTCGTGTGTCGTGTGTCGTGTGTCGTGTGTCGTGTGTCGTGTGTCGTGTGTCGTGTGTCGTGTGTACGCACGTGTTGCGTGTGTCGTGTGTCGTGTGTCGTGTGTGGTGCCGCGCAGATCGAGTACTTGCGGCTCTACACGCAGTACTGCTCCAACCAGACGCAGGCCGGTACGCGTCTGAAGGAGCTCAAGGATGCCAAGCCGGAGCTGCACCAGCTGCTGGAGGAGATGCGGGACCTGCCGGACATCAACCGGCTCGATCTGGAGAGCTTCCTCATCAAGCCCATGCAGCGACTGACGCGGTATCCGCTGTTCTTCCAGCAGCTCCTCAAGCACACGCCCGAGACCCATCCTGACTACGCCAACCTGCGCAAGTGCCTCGACGGCCTGCACGAGGTGGTGACCACCATCAACAACCAGAAGCAGCGCAACGACAACCTCAACAAGCTCCTCCTCCTCCAGCGCCAGTTCCTCGACACCAAGGAACAGCCCGTACGCCCCCCCCCACCCTTCGGCTGCTGCGGCTGCGGCCAAGTCCCACGGCTCACGCGCGCGCACGTGCAGGCGCTCAAACTGGTGGAGGCCACGAGGAAGTTCATCCGGGAGGGCGTTTTTGTGAAGGTCACCTACGGCAGCGCGTCCATCAAGAACTGCACCGTGATCCTCTTCAACGACATCATCGTACTCGCCGTCAAGAAGGGCAAGGACCCCGCCGCCGTCTACACCCCCAAGAGCCCCAAGATCCCCCTCGCCGGCCTCCTCGTGTGGGACGAAAAGTCTGGTACATTGATTTATTTATTTATTTATTTAGCTCCTGTGCCTGGTGGTGGTGGTTGTGTGTGTGTGTGTGTGTTCTACTTCTTTGCGGCTGACTGTCAGGTTTGTTTGTTGCTGGGGCAGTGCCATTCGGCTTCTCGGTGGTGGGACGCGAGGCGGGCCAGGACAAGCTCACGCTGCAGGCGGGAAGCGAGGAGGAGAAGGCCTCGTGGGTGGACGAAGTGAACGCCGCCCTGGCCCACCTCCCCAACCTCCTGCGCGGCCATCGGCGCGTGCCCTCTGCCGTCGGTACCGTCGGTACCTCCCCCTCTCCTCCTCTCTCCTGGGGATAAGAAATCCCCACCGCCGCCCCCACGGCTTCACGTCTCACGTTGGCGTGGCTGTGGTGTGCGTGTGTGTGTGTTGAATGGCCGCAGAGAAATATATCCGCCACCAGGAGCCGCCTGCCAGTCCCCAGGGCTAAGCGGCCAACGGCGCCTGCGGTGTGTACCACTACTATTACTGCTCCAAGTACTGCTACTGTGACTGCTACAGCCTTGACGTCCACAGGTCCGCACAGAGCAACGTGTCGCTATAAATATATATTCGTTATTTATTGTATGCTGTGCCCGCGCGTGCGGGGGAAGGGCGTGGGCTTGTGAGGGTGGTGGTGGGTAGGGCGCGTGGTGGTGGCGGCCACGCGGGACAGCAGCAGCAGCAGCTCAGAGGCGGAACTCCTCCTTGAGGTAGTCCACGCACTCGCCCTTGTTGTCGACGAGGTTGTACTTTTGCCAGTCGAGGGCGATGGGCGCCTGCACCACGTAGTCGGGGATGCCAAAGGCGTCGGTCAGGTGGAGCGCCTGGGGCGCCAGGGCCGAGCACAGGGCACGCACGGCGTCGCCCACCTCCCTCCCTGCGCACGACCACGACCACGACCACGACGACGAGGAGGAGCCGCGAGAGCGTGCGCACAGGTGCTTAGAATCATCGCCCATGATGACGGTGACGTGGATGATGATGATGATGACGATGACGCCACGCAAGTGAGCCCGGTACCTTGGCCGATGGTGAGGATGCCGTGGCAGAGGAACCAGGGCAGGTCCTTCTCGATGCTGGTGAGGGCGTACAGGCGGTACAGGTCCGCCAGGATGGGCTGCAGCGCCGGCCCGCTGCTGCCCACGTTCTTGCCAAACCGGCCGATGGTCACTGCATGGGCCACACGCAGAGTGCCAACGACGACAACGACGACGTAAATAGCGTACATCCCCCGTACCACACAGCCACCACCACCACCACCACCACCACCACCACCACCACCACCACCACCACCACCACCACCACCAGCGTACTCGGGAGGGAGGGGGGCAAGAGAGAGAGAGAGAGATTGCAGGCGGGTGGGGAAGCAAAGCGAGGGGGGGGCAGGTCGTACCGTGCTCGGCGTAGGCCTTGGCGGTGGCCTGGATGGCGTCGCTCTCCTGCTTCATCCACACGTCGAACAGGGGCTGGCCCGCGCCCAGCTGGCGCTGCAGAGAGGTGGCCAGGCCCAGCAGGCGCTGCCCAAAGCGGAGGTCGAACAGGTAGCCCAGGTACTCCAGGCTCCTCAGGTCCTGCGGCGGCGGTGAGGAACGACGCATGACGACGCACCGCACGCTGCCAAAGGGTTGGGGGGGGGTGTACCTGCTTGATGGAGTCGTCGCGGGAGCGAGGGTTGACCTGTCCGGCGCGGAGCATGTCGAGGAGCTCCTTGGCCACCTTCTGCATGAGGACCGCGTTGTCGCCCTCTGCCGTCATGCCGGCGTGCGCGCCTCCCACGGCGTCGGAGAACCGGTTGCACGCCAGATAGCCTGAGGGGCGGGGAAGGCGCAGGGAGACCATCGGTATCGTTGGATTGGGGCGGGGCGGGGCGGGGCGGGAGTTGTTGCGGTAGGGGGGTGAGGGAGGGGGTGAGGGCATACCCTGTCCTCCGCAGCGCTCGCGGCAGACGAGGCTGACCTCATTGGCGTTCCACGTCACGACGGGCTTGAGGGCGCAGCAGAGGATGACGAGCCACTTGGACGCCATGGCGTCGCCCTTGAGGTCGCCCACGGTGGTGCGCTCAAAGTAGTCCTTCACGTAGTCCAGCCCAAAGTTGAAGGCGTAGGTGGTGGCCAGCAGGGGCATCAGCGCGCGCTGCTGCAGCTGGTAGGCCAGAATGGGCGTATCACTGAACGGAAACACGCGACACACACACGACACACGACACACACGACGCATCATCATCATCAACACGCGTGAGTGTGAGCGTGATCGGTGGTGTGCGAATGCCGCACACGGCACGCACGACACGCGTACTCGTAGCAGAGGAGGAGACGTGCACCTCTTGCCGGTGGGACCCACGGCCAGGCGGGAGGAGGCGTAGCGGATGGCAATGAGGAGGGAGGTCTTGGAGCCCCCGATCAGCATCGACGCGATACAAATGCGCCCGCTCTACGCCCACGCGCGAGAAACACAGCGACACACACACACACAGAGAGAGAGAGATCCAGGGATGAGCGAGTCTGGTGCGTAAAACGGAAAGGGATAGAGGGCAGGGGTGCGTGTGCGTGTGCGTGTGCGTGTGCGTGGAGGGGAGAGAAGTGTGTGTGTGTGTGTGTGTGGTACCAGGAGCTGGTCGGCCACGGTGAGGAAGCGGCCGCGCGCGCTCTTGATGGAGGAGGTGAAGGCGCCGCCCTTGGCCACCTGCGAGTGGGCGTCGAGGAGGTTGAGCCGCGGAACGCGCACGTGGTCGAACCAGAGCTTGCCGTTGTCGACACCGTTCATGCCCATCTTGCGGCCCATGTCCTCCACCCGCACACCCCTGGGCGCAACGGGCCGGCGAAATGAGGTGGGTGGGTGGAAGGGAGGGGGGGTATAGCAGCGCGAGCGAGGTGTCGTACTTGCACACGGAGTGGTCGTCGTTGCGGATGCGGGTGAGGAAGGCGTGCACGCCGTAGTCCTGGCCGTGGATGAGGAGGCGCGCGAACACGACCGCCCACTTGGCGTGGATGGCCGAGTTGGTGATCCAGTACTTCTGCGCCAGCACGGAGGGCGTGTTGATGATGAACTCGTCCGTCGCTGCGTCGTACTCGGCTGGTCGTCGTGCAGGAAACGATGACGATCATGAAATAGAAATAGTAGAAATAGTAATCATTAGTACTAATGTAGTACTACATAACACGTGCGCGCACAGTGGCAGGCACGACACCTCGAACAGGCGGAAGGCATGGGTGGTGCCGGTGCCTTAACAAAAGGAGGGAGAAGAGGGGGGGGGGGTGCGGTACCGGTGGTCCTCATTTCCACGGCGTTGTTGCCGTACCCTGCACCGCAAAGGGCGAAGCAAGAAGCAAGAACAGGTGTGCGGTAGGGGACCACGTTAGAGCTGACGGGCCACACGGTCGCGGGGGGGGGCTGAAGTGGTGAAGGCGGATAGAGTAGCAGCAGTAGCAGCAGCAGCAGCAGTAGCAGGTAGTAGCAGGTAAGTAGTAAGTAGTAAGTACCGAGTTCGGTGAGGGCAAAGCATCCGATGTCCTTGAGAGAGTCGATGCCCTTGAGCAGCAGCTTGTGGTGCCTCTCGGTGCCCAGCTTCAAGACAGTCCCGCCAAAGAGGTTGAACTGTTGCGGTGGTGGTTGGGTGGGTGGGTAGTGGGTGAGTGGGTGGAGGCACCAATTGCCGTGCCTTTGTTGCCCAGCGGACGAGACGGGCGTGTCTGTGTATATAGATCTCTCTCTCTCTCTCTCTCTCTCTACGGTACCTGAACGGTCATCTTGGTGGCGGTGGAGCCATCGACGAGGCCCGTGAGCTCGTGCGCCGCAAAGATGCGCTTGGGGTTGCTGCTGAAGTCGGTCACGGAGAGGAAGTCGCTGTCGCAGATCAGCTGCAGACCTGCTCGCCCCCCCCCCACAAGGCCTTTGTTATTCCCGGCTGCTCGACCACGACAACCACCAGCTTCAGGGCTTGTCTATTTTCTCAAGAATAGAAAATGGATTGGACCCAAGTGTTGTTGTTCTGTGGGAAAAGATGTGTGTACGTACGTTGGAGGGCGACCTCCCGCTCTTTGTCGAGGGGGATGTTGTTCTGGACGAGGAAGAGTGGGTGCTTGGCGAAGGCCCTGAAGCGCTGGCGCATGTCGTGGTTGTCGTGGTCGAGCAGCCGAGTCATCTCGCGCACGTCGAACGTGGGCGCGAACGTCCAGTGGGTGCGCAGGGCCGCCCCCGCGCCCTCGGCCGCGGCACTGGCTCCCTCCAGCTCCTGCCGCTGCTGCTGCAGGGGTG